TACAGTATTCATTGGTATGTGAAAATGAATGGTTAGCGCGAATCAGTTATACACTATTCTGGGTCGGATCAATATTTGGTAATCTTCTATTCGGCTGGATGTCTGACAGGTATTTAAATTTTGTATCATTCAGCAAATCCAGTAATACTAACGAAGTAACCCGTGCCAAGGCTCCTGGGGGAGACCTGGTGCTTAGTTACTGTTAAACGAGATTTACCTTAAGCCTGCGCCCGGCTACCCCAATCACTGTGAGCTTCTTGGCAAACAGTGACTACTCAAACAATAAATTCCAACTTGATACCTTCACGCGTTCCCAAGAAACAGGGTCTTGACAGAAAGACGGACGGACAACAAATTCTATAAGGGTTCCGGTTTCTTCCTTTCGTGGTACGGAACCCTAAAAAGTAAATATATTATTGTTCACTTACAACTTTATGTAAATACTAATGTGTTTATGTTCCAGATATGGGAGGCGGCCGACAATTTTGCTGATGATATGTCTTGAAGTGCCGTTGGCAATAGCAACAGCGTTCCCTAATTCGTACACAACTTACATAGCCCTACGGATTATTGGTGGTCTTTTCTTTCCGGCGCTATATCAACAACCCTTTATATTGGCTTTAGAATTAATGCCACCTTCTCGGAGACCGAATGTAGGTATGTACAACTTACAAAGGATATGTTAGAAGTAACACAACCTACGATGGAGAAGAATTGAATCATAGTACGTAAAAGTGGAGCGTCGGTGGCTCAGTGGTCTAACGCTTGACTTGCAATCTGCAGGTCCTGGGTTCGAATCCCGATATGTACCAATGTGTTTTTCGATTTCCGATTTACATATGTACATTTATCCGACGTTCTTACGGTGAAGGAAAACATCGTGATGCAACCTGCACATATCTGAGAAGAAATTCAAAGATATGTGTGAAGTCAACCAACCCGCAGTGGGCCAGCATGGTTGACTATGGCCTAGTCACCCCTAACTTGGGTAGGCTCCGAGCCCCTCGGTGGCGACGTATAGTGAGCTGATGATGATGACGTAAAAGTAAATAATGATAGTATTGGAGAGGCTATTATTTGTCCTACTGCATGTACAGTCAGCTGCATAAATCTGTATAAATTCAAATAACCTTCGAAATCGTATATGCCGACAGTTTTAAATATACTTATGCACGTCGCCAAGAACATGTAAACATACACATAGATGGGAATATAGAGACCGATACTTACATACGTATTTTTATACAAAAGCTATTATAATTCAAGTATCTGAAACTTCATAAATGTTTATATATTTCTGCACTTCACTGTACATTAATATCACTTAAACTGTGTTGTTCGTCACTTATAAATTCAAAAATGTTTCCAGGAATCGTTGTTGGAATGTTCTTTGCTGGTGGAATCAGTTTATTGGCAGTTATCGCTTACGCAGTCCGAGATTGGTTTCATCTGACTTTGGCAACAAGTGTTCCCTTTATTATGTGCTTTGGGTAAGACAAAAACCTTTTAAATTCAAAATAATCCTATAAGTAGTTACTGAGATTAATCAAGTCCTAATGTTTGTCTTCTTTCTCTTCCCACCATTTTTCTTATAAGTAAGGGAAGGGAAGTGGAAGTGGATTTGCCGGATACGGGGATGCATGGAAATGGAAAATGTTATCTTTATGTGGATCCCCCCCTCCTCTACCGACAAAGCATCTGCAATTGCAGATGTTGGGCAACGGTCGATTCGCTTTTTCAGCGATTTTATGTGCCCACACTTTTTTCCTTACTAAAAGAAAGAAAATTAATTAGCAATCTTACTAATTATAAATAAAACATTGTAATGTCAACAGTTACTACTGGTTGATACCGGAGTCGCCGCGATGGCTTGTCGGTAAAGGTCGCATCATCGAAGCCGACGAAGTACTCAGAAAGCTAGCTAAGAAAAACGGAATTAATTTGGCAGAAGGATTTCTTTTAAATATTCACGTAAGTAATCAAAATATTTAATATCCCTTTCAGTGCCTCATTTTATATAAGACTAGCTGTCGCCCGCAACGTCGTCCTTGAGGAATTAAAAAAAACTTCATGCGTAGCCTATGTGTCCTCCCAGACTATGTTTTATATGTATACAAAATTTCATCGAGATCCATTCAGACGTTATGGAGATACCTTCAAGCAAACATCCATTCATGCAAACACACGCATTTATATCAGTAAAATGAATAACTAAACTTGAATATAATCAATTTCCATTAAACAAATTACCACATATTTTTTTAATTTCAGAGGAATCTTGTAAACGAAGATTTTGAAGAAGAAAGAGCCAACGTGATTCCTACCAATATAAATAAGGTTGAAATAACAGAAAGTGTTGATAATAAAAATGTTAATTGTAGAATAAACAATATGCTAATATTTAAACCTGATGTTAAAATATTGTCTAGAAATAACAGCAATGCTGCTGAAGAAAGTATAGATCTCCTAGATGAACTGCAATCTTTAAATTCTCAACCAAAAACAAAAACAGAAAATACATCTAAAAAAATAACAAGAATATTTATCAAAAATGGAACTGACGATGAAGATAGCGAAATAATGGATGATATCTCAAACGAGAATTACGAAGCATCTCTCTTAGATATTTTCAGATATCCAAATATAAGAAAAAAATTTCTACTTTCAACATTTGATTGGTTATCGTTAGGAGTTATTTATAATAGTTTAAGTTATAACACATCAAACCTAGGAGTCAATGACCATTTGGCATTCTTTATAGGTTAGTCACTTAACATACAACGAGGAGTTATTACGAGTACTCGAAACCAAAGAGTATAAATGTGTAGATATGTGAAAGGTGTGCCAAGACAATCATATTGTGACCTTTTGCAATTATAATTGTGATTTTAGGTGGAGTAGTGGAGATTCCTTCTTATATAGTGGGTTGGCATTGCATGGAACGTTATGGTCGACGATGGGTACTCTGCATATTTATGTCTATCGGTGGACTGGCTTGCTTAAGTTGTACTCTAGTTCCAGAAGGTAATTGTAGAAGTATTTGTGTAAATTTATTGAACTCCATAACTGAAACTAGAGTCCTTTAAAAGTGGAACTTATTGCGTCGACTCCACATAGAGTAGAATAGGGACAGAGAAATCATCATGAATATATTTTATCCTGTATTGTCTTGTTTTAGATATGCCATGGGTTACCGTTGCCCTGGCATTGTCAGGAAGATTATTCGTAGCAGCAGCTTTTGCGGTATTCTATGTTATGATTGGAGAATTGCTACCAACAGTGCTAAGAGCTCAAGCTATCGGCTTAGCATCATTTATCACCGGCTTAGGTCTTTTAGCCTGCCCTTATATTGTACATTTGGTAAGTTACTGCTCAATTATTTTTTTAAAAAAATTCCGCATAAACAGTCTTCCACAAATCATCAAAATACTTTTTTTTTAGTTAAGAATTACGACACCAAGGTTACATTTTTCGCGGGTATAGACCGACAAGTCAAACTTAATTAGAATAGCTCACTAGCGCCCCTCTGCCAACTTCGAAAACCTGTCACAAAATCTTCTTCGTACTGTAGCTGTCATACCATGTTTTTCTTCTTTTATGCCATTTTCTATGTCTATACGTAAAACCTACATGAGGTGTTACGATTTACTGACAGAACTAACCTCGACAACAGCACCTTTCACCGTTCCGGACGTTCTTCCAGACTATATTCTACATTTATGCCAAATTTCAGCTAGATCCGTCCAGCTGTTCTGGAGAAACCTTATAACAAACATCCATCCATCCATCCTAACATTCGCATTTATAATATTAGTAAGATTTTAACATTTACATTATAATAAATCTTTTCATTGCAGGCAGTTTATGGCCGTACACTACCGCTGTTCTTGATGGGCTTGCTCAGTATCATAGCTGGAGTGATACCACTATTCCTGCCCGAAACGCTCAATCAACCCCTACCTCAAACGTTAAAAGATGGAGAAACGTTTGGTAGAAATACTAAAATATTTAGTTGTGCTAAAATTACTACATAATGATTTTCTTTTATTTTAATTACAACTTATTTTTGTACATCATTGTTTTTTTAAATTTACACCAAATTGGTCAGATTAATTAAACTACTAAAATATATGTAAGTACGTATTTTTATATCATATTATTTTCTTACCTTCTTACATGGCTTTATCATATAAATAAAACAAACAATAACAAATTCATAAGCCACTGAAAACTACTAGTTACTATACATAGTATAGTTGGTTTGTTTACATTTATTTCAAGATTAAGCCTCGACCTTTATCGTAAGGTTGGTTACTATCATTTTTTAGGACAAACTATCGCGTTCTCAAATCATCCTACTAAACTTTCATCGAAATCTATTCAGAAACAAAGAAAAAAACTTTATTTTAATTTTTATAGATTCATGAATAATTCCATATAGCCTTGACAGAGCCGATGTCTGTATTTCTTATCAATGTCTGAAATATAAAATATCGCGATGTCAACGACCGATATTACATCAGGCCTTCGGATCAAGGTCAACGATATTTATACTTAAACCCTTGACTAGGCAACGTAAATCTTCGAAACTTGTATAGTTGCGTCGCGGGAATTTGTTGCTCGCGATTCCTACATACAACGTTGATTCGTCGACGCGAGTCGTCTATTTAATCAGTACAGGCAAAGTTACATGTCAATTCTATAGATTTGTTCCGTTATCAGCAACTGCAAGTGAAATCTCAACACAACTTTTTCTACGTTTAATTTGAAGTTATATTTTTTTAGATAGAAAATTTGTAAAGTAATGAAACGCGAACATATTACAAAAAATTATCATAATGGCGTGCTAATTTTTTGTAAATATCAGTTTAAATAACATAAATATTAATAGGTTTTTTGTATAAATTTAGGTACAGAAGCCATTTCTCGCGACTTTGGATACAATTAATGTATAGCTTACTATACAGGGGTATAGTAAGCTATACATTAATTGTTCTTTTTTATTATAATTTATCTTTATCCTGTAAAGTTCTTAAGTAGGGACTTAAGAACTTTAAAGGATAAAGATAAAAACCTGAAATACGTACTAGATTATTTAATTATTTGTATAAAAAGAATTTGTCAATTTCCCAGTAATTCTTCTGCAGAAGAAATATTACTCTAGACCAACTTTCCCTCGTCGCAAAATTTGTAACAGAAATCTATGTGCATTTCAAGTCTAGATATCCCGTCAATCAGCTTACTCTTTTATAAAATACATGCAAATGTGATAAACATTTGCATGTCTTTTATAAAATAGTTCTGATAAAATAAATTTATAACAAATTGTTAATTTATACAGTAATTAATTATCGCGTAATCAAATAAATAATATGTTAATTTTATCAAATAATTAATTAAAATTAATTAAGATTAATTAATTAAACCACGAAAAATATACATAAACAGAATTGTTTATAGAATACAGCATTGAACGCTAAAGTTATCTCACTCTGTGGGCATAAGGGACACTAAATACAATAGCTCACTAGCGCCCTCTCTCCGGTCAATGTTCAAAACGGATTCTAGTTTAAGTGTTACTTTGTAATGGATTCTATTGAGAATATTTTATCTCTTTTTAACAGGTAGAGCCCGCTTTAACATCTTCTCACGAATTGGCCCGGCTCGCCCGGTGAAATATCACGACCACACAGAAGACAGGCGTGAAGTGGAAACAATTCCGCGTTTCGTCTGATGTGCGTCCCGGAGGCCTAATTTAGTCCTCTTTCCCTTCCCACCCTTTTGCTTATAAGGAAAGGATGGGAAATGGAAGTGAAAGGATGCACGAAAAGGGAAAATATTTTCTTTCTGTGCATCCTCTACTCCGTCGATTAAGGTAGGCAACGCATATGCAATTGCGTATGTCTATGGGCAACGGTCACTTCGCTGTGTGATTCCACTTTACGCCTACCTTCTGTGTTGTCCATTTGTTTTTCGTTTCTATTTCTCCACTATAATGATTTAAAGCGATATATCAATGACAAAGTTATTAAATAGTAAACAATAGTAAAATCGTGACATATAAAAGAAATAACTATTAAGTACAATTCTACGTATGAATATTTTCATACTTTATATTTAGTTCAAGAATATTTAGGTATATATTGCCTCTCATTCTCATTAATAAAGTAAGATTACATTTTTGTAGAGTCGTTTTAGCAGTGGAAACCGATACTATAAGGGCAATGTAAACTATTACAAAGCTGAAAACAATATCGGTAATTCCAGAGATGATGGGATCCGAATTTAAAAGTATCAAAATTTGTAAAAGTCAATATTGACCTTTTCGGAGCCAAACAAGACAAGTAAAGAAAAGTTGTGTTGGCCGTCTTTTATACAAGACCAAAATCATACTCTTACAAAACATGAAATACACATAATAATTCGTAATATACATAAAAAAGGCGTTATTTAAGATTAATTGATTTTGATGGATGAAACTACGCCTAGTGCGCGTATTATTGTATATTTTATTTAGATTTCTGCGTTTCATTTACTTAGCTGCTTTCATTAAAAATATTTATTGTTAAAAATGCTCTGACGCATTTAAATTGACGCAATGTAATATTCTTAGCATTGTAAATGTTAATTAAACACGTGAGGGAACTGATGAAAAATATCGAGAAGTAAAACATTTTTCTGAATATTTAACTTCACACAAATGGTTGTGTTAGCCGGAATAAACTTTATGTAGTGCGTCAACGCTACTTTTTGTATCCCTACTATGAAAAATGGTATGAATATATTCTGTAAAATATAATTATTATATTAAATAATGATAGGAAAAAAGCTAATATAAAAACTCAATAAATTTTATATAAAACTGTTGGTCGCCTGCAACTCCTGTTAAAATCGATCCAGCCATTCCCGGAACAAATGCGAATATGCGTAAGACAGAGACAGAAAAAAAACTGTTATCAGCACCGAAAATGCATCATGTGTACGAAATATCGAAAAAAATATGCTTTTTCTACACTACAGACATACAGACACTCCAATTTGATTAATATGGATAATTTACAAAGTCAATTAAATGTAAGACGGAGTTTAATTTCACTGTATACGGAAAATTTCATAACGAGACGGTATTTAGTTCAATGTCAATTATAGTAAAAAGTTGCTTTACCATTTTTAAAGAAGAGTATCAAATTTTCTATTGTTACTATACTGGACGTAAGAGTCCTTACTACATCATCAGCTCACTATACGTCCACACCTACATTAACAGTGGTAGAGCCCGCTTTAACATATTTTCAAGAATTGGCTCGGCTCGCCCGGTGAAATACCACGACCACACAGAAGACACGCGTCAAGTGGAAGCTATTCCGCGTTTCGTCTGATGAGTGTGCGTCCCGGAGGCCCTATATAGTGCTCTTTCCCTTCCTACCCTCTTTCTTATAAGGGAAGTGGAAATGGACTTTCCGGATGAGAGGATGCATCGAAAGGGAAGATATTTTCTTTCTGTGTATCCTCTCTTCCGTCGATTAAAGGTAGGCAACGCATATGCAATGTCTATGGGCAACGGTCACTTCGCTATTTCAGCGATCTCAGGTGGCCGCTCGCTCGTTTGCCGCCTTATGATATATATTTAAAAAAAACACCGAGGGGCTCGGAGCCTACCCTGAGTTTGATTAGGCCATAGTCAACCACGCTGGCCCACGGCGGGTTGACTTCATATATATATCTTTGAGTTTTCTAGATATGTGCAGGTTGCATCACGATGTTTTCCTTCACCGTAACGTCAGATAAATGTACATATGTAAATCGGAAATCGAAAAACGATTCGAACCCAGGACTTGCAGATTGCAAGTCAAGTGAGTCACCCCTGAGCCACCGACGCTCACTTTAAAATATACATAACACTTATAAGCATAATTTAAATTGATTTTTTTAATTTAAATCCAAATTAGAAACGGTTACATTTTTCCTGTATAAAAATTTAAATTGGTGATTTTTCTACATCAACTTAGGATTCTTACCAACTATAGCAATATGTTTTATTCAATTAACAATAAAATTCAACTGAGGTGATATTAAAATTATCGGTAGTCTCTTTATTTTTCCAAAGAGAAAGAAAGTGATGAAAATATACAGAACACATTTAAAAAATTATACAGAAAGTTTCTTTTAACTATAGTGTGTCAAGGCCTTATATATAGAGATAAAAATTACGTTCCCAGTAAAGGCACTATTTTTATCATAAGTTACTACGTTCCGTTACACTCAAGTACCGTCGATGGTACTTAAATATTTTTATTCTGTTTTTAATTTTTCCGTAAAATTGTGAATCGAATAAAAATGAAAAATAAATTCATTTTCAATGAGGGCAATCAGATCAATCAAATAATATGCGCTATTTTTAGTAAGTATTTTTTTTATTTTATTTGTCAAAGAATAATTAGAACCAATGAAAAATAATATAAATTACTTGATTTATTTTGTTCTGTATACTTAGTACCGTTTTGTGTAGATCTATAGGAGGATTGTAGTTTTTTTACGTGACTGACAACCTCATATTTTTCATGGGTGTGTATGTATCACAATTTATGATCTCGCTAGACTCGACCCGCGACTCCGTCTACGCGAAATTAAAAAAAATAATTAGTAGTCTATTTCTTTTATACTGTGTTCTACAATTGTGCCGAATTTCATTAAGATCCATGCAACCGTTCTGGAGATACCTTCAAACAAAAATCCATCGAAACATTCACATTTATAATATTAGTAAGAAGTAAGATGTAGCCTAAACAATTGATTTTGACGATTTAGTTGTCATTCGATGCTATACAAATTGGGCTTATGTTTTTATAACAATCTTTTGTTATTCCAACAGTCAACATCCCGGCGATTTCATACGGCACCACCATAGGTTGGATGTCACCAATGACGCTTCTATTACAATCGAAGGATTCACCAACTGAAGTTCCTCTCACAGATATCGAGGTAATATTATTTTAATAAGTAAATTAGTGGAATCCCTTAAGTGCCGGTAACTCATCTGCGGTTCCTCTGGTATTGCTGATGTCCATGGGCGTCGTTGTACACCTCGGTGTTCCCGCTGCTCGTTTGCCCTCTTCTCTTATAAAAAAAAAGTGCCGGCAACGCAATTGCCATTCTTCTGTTATTGAAGACGCCTGAGTACAATTTATCAATACAATAAAATAGAATTTATTGGAAATATTTAAATTACGATCATAAGTGTACGATTTACAAACAAAAAATATTCAAAAATTATTCACGTGAATAAAGGGTTTTCTTGATAACATATGATTTTAATCTATTTTTAAATGATGCGAGGCTGGTTGCCGCTGTGACTTGGTCCGGTAACATTAGACTACCCCATCATTTTGTCCCAATAATTAAAATGTTCGTAACTATTAGTTACGAACATTTTAATCTTTAGTAATTTGCGTAGTGTACATGTATTTTATCTGATGTAGAGGGTTTTTATTGGTATGGGGTTTAGGTATATTTTTTCATTCTAACCTATTTATCATGTAAATTCGTAAGAACAAACATCAATTAGAATTTGCGTATCTTAATATAATACATTGAAAGTGAAAATCTATATATATAAAAGAAAGTCGTGTTAGTTACACTATTTATAACTCAAGAACGACTTTACCGATATGCCTGAAAATTGGTGCTACCTCCTAGCTTAGAGCCAGGAGGCGAACATGGGACCATATATATTTTTTTTAATTTATGCCTTCATGCAGCACTTCACTGCATTTTATTTAACTTACTAATATTATAAATGCGAATGTTTAGATGGATGTGATGTGGATGGATGGATGGGCCTTTGAAGATATCTCTAGAACGGCTGAATGGATCTCGATTAAATTGGCATACGCATAGAACATAGTCTGAAAGAACACATAGGCATAATTAAGTATATTTATATCCACGCGGGCGAAGTCTCGGGCAACAGCTGGTATTAGATAAAACAATGTCATTACTATTTCTACATTATACAAATTTAATCTTAATCAAAATGTATAATTGTTAATTGTATCAAACGTATGTATACAGTGTATAAATTAAAATTTATAAATTAATTATTATTATCGTTAGCAAATTAACATTGATAAAAAGTAATACTGTCTAGAAGTTCATCAATCCCATTTAAAACAATGAGTAAATAAAGTAATAAAATCAATCGACTATTTTGTAATAAATTTTTTATCATTATACTAGCCGTCGCCCGCGACTCCGTCCTCGTGGATATAAAGAAAAATTTAATTAGGGTAGCCTATGTGTTCTTTCAGTCTATATTCTATACGTATGCCAAATTTAATCGATATCGGTTCAGCCGTTCTAGACATGCATCTAAACATTCGCATTTATAATATTAGTAAGTTAAATAAAAAGCAGATCCTTAAGGCATAAATTCGAAAAAAATAAAAAAAAAACTAATACATAGTATCCTATGGCCGAATCCTGGCTCTAAGCTACACCCTCACCAATTTTCAGACATATCGGTAAAGCTGTTCTTGAGTTATAAATAGTGTAACTAACATAACTTTCTTTTATATACGAGTATATATATAGATTTTTATCATTATATTTAATTGCCGATCGTAAATAATGTGACATAAACGAATGCACAATAAATTGCAACATTTCTTCGATTCAATAATATTATTTATATGAAATATGACAATAGGTCATAACAATATCAACTACCATGATTAGCAATTTACTGACGTTTTCTAACATTATTTTTCAAATTACTCGATTGGAAAGAGGCATTGTTTTCCGCAAATACATTATATGGATATATATATGCAGTGGGCATGTTACGATGAAATTGCTTGACTTTTATTTTATATCAGAAGGCGGCAAACAAGCGAGCGGCCACCTGAAATCGTTGAAATAGCAAAGTGATCGTTGCCCATAGACATACGCAATTGCATATGCGTTGCCTACCTTTAATCGACGGAGGAGAGGATGCACAGAAAGAAAATATTTTCCCTTTCCATGCATCCTCTCATCCGGAAAGTCCACTTCCACTTCCCATTCTTTCCTTATAAGAAAAGCGTGGGAAGGGAAAAAGGACTAAATTAGGCCTCCGGGACGCACACTCATCATACGAAACGCGGAATTTCTTTAGGATTTCACTGGGCGAACCTGGCCAATTCGTACGAAGATGTTAAAGCGGGTTCTACCACTCTTAAACTTTGTTACATTAGCTATGTCTTTCACATAATAATACACTCCAAACAACGTCGCGCACACTCTATATAACGTCGAAAATGCCGCATTTTGAACCATTGAGCTGTAGAATCATTTAATGAAATTTTAAGTGGCTGTTATTTCTAGGAAATCGCAACTGTGTTTATTCTTTTGTCTTCTGTTTTATTTTTATATTCTCAAAGAAGCAATCTTATATCTTTCAGATATCCTGGATAGCGTCTCTTCCATATTTAATATGCGTCCCAGCAAATTATTTGGTTGCGTACGTTGGTGATAGATTTGGAAGAAAATTATCTATAATTTTTATGTCTACGGTGTGCGCGGTAAGTAAAATACATGTATACTTTCATACACATTCTTTCGTAGGTATACTTTTGTTTGCTAGTAACTGTGTTTTGATTTTCTTGGAACATGTGTAAGAACAATATTGCTATCTCTGTTTTTGTAAAGAGAATGAAGGGGATAGGGATGTTGAGGACTCACTGTAAAGGAAGCATGACTTAGGACATTTCCTTTATAGAGTTACTAGCTATCGTCCAAGACTCCGTCCGCGCGGGATTAAAAATAGTTCTTGGCCGATTCTCATGCTCACAAAATTTCATGAGAATCGGACAAGCCGTTTCGGAGCAGTATGGGAACGAAAATTGTGACACGAGAATTTTATATATAAGACTAGCTATCGTCCACGACTCCGACCGCGCGGAATTTAAAAAAAAAACCTAACAAGTAACCTTTGTATTCTTCCGGGCTATGTTTTATATGTATTTCAAATTTCATCGAGTTTACATAAACTGGTGAAGTTATCATCATCTCCTGTCGTTATTCTACGCACTTAGGGCACACAAAGTTTTCGACCAAATCGATCTATGTTCCGTTATTTCAAACTCCTCTAAATTATGTCACCTTATAAGCATTTCATGTTTTTGTTATCTTACACCTCTTTACAGTCTAAAAACAGATGAAACGTGATAGTTTACGGGTAGCAACATGTTTCACGATTCTGCATTCACGGCCTTTTTAGGTGTTCCGGACGAGATTTTTATCTCGCCCCCTTTACCGTGTTGCGGGGGGAGATAAAAGGGCTATGTGAGACTGTGTCATTCACAGACCTATATCTAAGAAATAATGCAGGAAAGTGAAAAGTCCTTGAAAAGAAAAATGTCTGATAAAGCGCGATGATAATGTTATCAAAGTATCAATTGGCAGGCGTTACAAATTTTGATAGGCATAAAAACGATTGTGAATTTGAATAGGAAACAGTATAAATCTATCAGATTTCTGTTTAATTTTACATCGACCAAGAATATCAAAAATGTTTTTTTTAATAACGACAAAAACGGATTGTCTGTAGGAAATTTTCAGGCCACACCAACACATAGACGTACACAAATCGACGTGATATGGTTAACTATACTCTAGTACGACCCTCGTTTTGAATATCGATTCTTTTTGTGTTCTTTTCTTCTCGACCTATATCCTATCAAATGTGAAAATTGTATGTATGTATTTTTAGACATTATTAGTTAGAATCATTTGTCGCGAATGACGCGCTTTCGTTACAAAGTGAAGTGTCAGAATGATTAGTGAGGGGACATAAACGACGACACTTTATTAAGGCTAGTGTTACGCCAGTACACCGGCACAATGTCGGATTTTCTTCCTAACAGTATCTAGATACCAGTAATAATAGGAGGTAATAACATTTTTCTTAATTAAAATAATTTTTCAGGCGTGTTGGATCCTCAAACTCTCTTCATACAACATCTGGGCGTTCCTAATAGCTCGATGTTTAGCCGGTATAGCAATGGCCGCTAGTTGCGTCAACTGTCCAGTGTACACGAAGGAAGTTTGTGATAATAACATTAGAGGCGCTCTGGGATGCATGGTGAGCAAAATTTAAAAAAAAACAAAACGAACTGTATCACCGATCAATCATGACTACAGTATTTTTGTAATTTACCTAAGCAAACTGTAAACATTAAGCAAATTGGATATTAAACGACTTCATTTATAAAGTGACGTGTTCTATAAAGCTAATACGAAGATGTAAATTTTACTTGCGATATAAATTTAGCCAAAATAATAATAATCACTAATTAATACGAAAATTGCAAATAAATAAGCTATAAGCTTTTGTTACTTACTTTACTGGCGTAGCGATCCAAGATCAGCCTTGGTGACACAAGAGATCGTCAGTCGATTTGGAGATCTTGAACGTCCGACTCTACAGCGACTCTTCATAAATCATCTTTTCATTTCAGTTGGCGTTATTTTTCACGATAGGTAGTCTATTCTCGTATGTCATCGGAGATATGTTTAGCTACCGTACAGTTCTATGGATATGTTTGTCTATACCTGTGTTCCATTTGATCACATTCGCATTGATGCCCGAATCACCATCGTATTTAGTCAAAATTGGTAAAGAAGAGGTACGTATGGAACGAGTTTACTATTGTTATGATCAGAATATTTCTGTCATGAGGGCGCCACAATCGCCTTTGATATTGCAACATTCTACATATACGTAAATAGATCCCACAAACTGACATTTAAAAATTTAATTTATTATTTTAGACATCCTACTTTGATATTGTATTTTTTTCTTGCCTGTTATAAATATTTTTCAGCATATAATGAATAAATACATATATGCATATACGTAATTACACATCAAATTATCACAAACTCAAAAATCTACGATTATAACAAATTTGCATCTCTTTTTCAAGATAAATATAAAAAATTAGCATCAAAAAGTAAATATTAACGCGTTGATTATTTCTTACATAAAAATATTAATTTTAATAGTTTATTCTAGATTTAAATATTATAAAAAAATTCTTACTTACAGGAAGCAGCCAAAGCATTATCTTGGTTAAGGCGTAGAGGCAAAAATCACTACACAATACAAAACGAAGTTGAAGCTATAAAGAAAGAGCAAAAGAACGACATCGACGGAGATAAATTCCTAATAAAAGCAATTCGTATGTTTATATCATTTTAAACTATCACTATAATTAAATACAGTCGAACCTGGATAAACAAGAATCCAAGGGCTATTTATCTCTATCTCAAGTTTATTTATGGACGCCGTCCGCCGAAACTGGATGATACTCGCTAATGGAGGTTTCTAGTTTATCCTGGTTCGATTGTACTAACCTTAAACTTGTAAGAGAAAATTACAAAAACCACTATAAACATTTATCACATATTGACTGGCATCACAGGAAGTATAATAATATAGTGACAAAGATAATAAAAGCACTTACCTATTTATTATCTTCTATTTCTTTATTCTACGCTTTTTGATTTTAATTACACGCACACTTCACAAACACTGAAACTAACCACTACGTTACATAGTATGTTTGCATCATTACACCAACAAGAATATTCATAAACTATTGTATTGAACTAAAAAGACACGCATTTGACAAATAACTAAAATTAAACACTAATTTAACACAAACTTTAAAACTATTTAACAAATTGTAAGTAGGTATTTCATTTTATTTACAACTGTCAAATTTTAATTTCTTTATTTTAAGAGTTGATGTTCTCGCCTGCCAGTCCGTCAGACTGCCAGTGACATAAAACTATTGGTTACGACTAAAACCATTGGATTATAAATAAAAAAAAAACAGAGGGATAATAATAATATTTGATTTTTCAGTAAAGGATAAGGTTTTATTCAAAGCATTTCAAATAGCGTTAATGGCGGCATTGGCTAGGGAAGTATGTGGCGCTGTCCCCGTATTGAATTTCGCTGGTGGAATATTCGCTATGGCATCGGAAGGCACAGGCTTGATTCTATCGCCTAATCAACAAGCGATGATGTTGGGTGTCGTTCAGTTGACGGGTTCTTTACTCGCTTCGAGTGTCGTCGAAAAAGTTGGAAGGAAGGTAATCTTACTAATATTATAAATGCAAATGTTTAAATGGATGAATGTTTGAAGTTATCTCCGGGATGGCTGAAAGGATCTGGCTGAAATTTGGCATAAACGTAGAGCATAGTCTGAAAGTACACATTGGCTACTAATTAAGTTTTTTTTAAATTGTCGCTATTTTTTCGATATTTTCACGTGCCAATTACAATACAGTTTTTTGACAGAAAAAGATTATAAAGTCAGAGAAACCTTTATATTCTCAAATTTAGAAGTGAAATGGTACAAGAATTAATATACAAACTTACCTTCTTTCAGGTTTTAATGGCTGGTACTTGCCTGATCTCTGGTCTGAGCATGTTTTGCTTGGCGTCCTGGTTCCTAGCCAGAGACTATTCCTACTTCGCGCCCGCTTGGATCCCGGTCTTTACTCTCTGCTTGTGCATACTATGCGATGCATCCGGACTTCAACCCATTTCCGTAGTTATTACTGGAGAGATATTTTCATTCAAGGTGAAATATTATTATTATTATAAATGCCAATATTTGGATGGATGGATGTTTGTTTGAAGGTATCTGGTGAACGGATGCATGGATCTAGCTAAAATTTGGCACAGATGTAGAACATAATCTAGAAGAACACATAGGCTAATCATTAAATTTATTAATTCCGAACGGAAGAAGTCGCGGGCGACAGCTAGACAACGAATTTTTTAACTTATTGGACGAAACGAGGAATTAGTAGTTAATTAGGCTTCTTTGTGATCTTGGTATAGCACCGAGCAAGTCTATTCGCGCAACAGCTGTCGCTTGCATTTAAAGAGTGGTGTGATAAATTCAGTCCAGAAGTAAATTGATGAATATTTGTATGATAACAATTAAAATGAATATTTATATTTCAGTATCGAGGATCAGTTTTAGCCACAACAATGGCAATAGCATCTTTAGCGGATTTCCTTCAACTATTATATTTCAAACCACTAGCAAGTTCTATTGGAGTACACTATGCCTTTTATTTCTTCAGTTTTATGTGTCTCAGTAGTGCATTGTACACCGTTATTGTCGTACCAGAAACAAAGGCACGAGACCTTGAAGACATCTACGACGATTTGAGGGGAAAGAGAAAAGAGAAGAATAAAGAAATTTCTTCAATTAGTAATGGACCTTGAACTTTTATAATTTACTATTGTGATATTTAGGTTAAAGGAAAGAATCTGTTATAAATATTATAATATTTTATATATTTAGTAGTTATTAGAAGGTTTGTCGATGATTCTTGCTTCCATTAGCACTCTTCTTCTCAGTGCGATAACATATATGCGTGACGTCATGAGACCATCGACAAAGTTATAGTAGAAAATATTTGATCAAAGAGTTTAAGACACTGATCTCTATAAATCGATAGGCTATTGCTTAGATGTTATAACTTATGTTTCATTTAAACACGCATATTAGTGTAACATAACACTTAATTCTATCGGTATTATTTGTAAATCCAAGCCATCCCAACAGATATAATCAGAGCCAAAATGAAGATAACCAAATAGGCACAAAATACTATATCTTATACCCAGTCTATTTATAGTGGTCAGTGGTTAAGACTTTGCAGGGTAAATGTCAACGGTATGGAAAGAGCGTGGCACCATGTTGCTTTCAAAATTGCTATGACTCGTACACATATTGATGTCTCTATTTTTCCAAAGAGAATGAAAGAGATGACAATATATTAATACATAATTTTCACTGCAGTGCAGTTTTATTTCTTACTCGCTTGGTAGACTCAGTAGATTTAACTTTATTTGTTTTTTAATTTTGCATAATCGGAACATCGGAACAATTTTAAAAATAAAAAATGTGAAAATACATAAAATTGGCTTTATTTATTGTATACTGTTAACGCAAATATCATTATGTGGTTATATTTTAAGCAAATAACTTGCAAATTTAAAAGTGATTATTGTTAATTGTTCACTTACTATAAGTGCTTTTGTTATCACTACGAGTTCTCGATATAAACTCACGTTACCATTTTTTAGCCCTTTAGCAAATACACTGTAAAAACTTTATAATAACTATAAAACAACTGCTAGCATTTTATAGTAATAAACGATTTTAAGACAATTTATTTAAATACATAGAACTTATTTTACTGAATTAACTCAACCAATATTAACTACATGTTGGTAAGTTTGACCATATGGACGATCATTTTCTTTGGCAAAGTAATTAGTTTAGTAATGTTTGTACCACAACAGCAGTTGCTTGCCTAATTTCTCCAGCAGGATAGTATAACAATCTCACAGAAACGTAAAATAGACGAATATTAATGACTGAATTACTACAAAAATACTTTTTAACTCGATTGAAACTCACTAGAAATAGTCGAAACGAATTTGAATATAGTAGTGGTCGTACGGACACAGACTATTACAGGTTAAAGATGTTGTCACATCGAACAATTTAATTTATATCTAGTTAGAAGTAACTCGACTAACATTGATGACCAACAGATAAGTTCACAGTTGTGTGTGAAGCGGATCAGTGAATCGGTTCGCAGATCACGTAAATTTGTACCTGTTTATTACGATTTTTCTATCGGTTTAGTCAACGTCTGACTCGAATCGTTATAGTACATCGCGTTGAGCCGTGAGCTGACAACTTAGTTGTTGAGTCGTAGCTCACAATTCAAGCCAATATGAGCTGAACTTTTGAGCCGGGTCAAGTCTACACGCATTTAGTTATATCAGTGTAAAAACTATGTTAGACAAAGAGTTTGCGTCTATTTTTGAGCCGATGCATTTTCTAAGTACTTGTCTCTTTATAAGAAAATATAATTTGTATAAAAATCAAGTTACACCAAGTTCTAAGCGAGGAATATTGTTTGCTGTGATTGGAATAATAATTGTTTATACCTTGTTACTTTTAACATTAAACAGTTTATCGATTATATTTAATGCAACAACTTATTATACTTATTTATTTATTTATATCCAATACGCTGTCGGTTGTAGTGTAATTATATTCATAAATTTATACCATAGTATATCTCATACAAAATTATTAATAACATTACAAAATATTGAACGATATTTACCAGATCGATGTGCTATAAAAAGGATGAAAATAATAGTTTGGATTTCATGTTTCACAATGATTTTGTCGCATGGAATATTTATAACCTTAAAATTAATATTGGATCCATTCTGGACGAAGGAGAAGGGTTGTTTTGTTATTCTAACACTTATTTTAGACTTTGAATTGTTTTATTCAACTGTTGTGGTACATTTAATGTCATGTAAGATGCAACAGTGGACTCAACTTTTAAATAAAGAAGACAAACAATCATCGAACAGAAAAAGAATTTCAGAACATAATTTAGAAATGATGTACAAGACATACAAATATTTATTAGATGCATTAACACTTGTAAAGGGATCAACACAATGGACGGTAACTATTTGCGTTTCGTTGATGAATGTATCAGAGGCTTAATTTTAACCCCTTTTTCCTTAACACCATTTTCTTATAAGGAAAGGATGAGAAAGGAAAGTTGATTTGACAGAGAAAGGGATGCATAGGGAAAATATCTTCTTTTTTATATTCCCTCTCCGTCGTTTAAAGGTAGGCAGATCTGTCGTTTCGCTATTTCAACTTTAACAAAACGCGTAGCTAGACTTAAAATGTGTCACCAATTTTGTTACCTCAGTACTTCTTAATTTGTCTTTTTACTTTAAAATAGAACATTACAAAGAACCATTTTAAAATACATTTTAATTATAGTATAAGGAAAGATAAAGTAATATATTTTTTGCAGATTTTATTACATTTTGTTACATTGTTTACGCAGTCAATGGCTTTCTTTGGAGTTCTGATGCTATGTACAGGGAACGAAGTTGTAAGTATCTATAACCGCTTGTTTCTACTGCAACATCCGTAGAACACATTATTTCAATCTATCCAAATAAAACGAGAGATATTTATAGCAACATAATTTGGTATAATTGCGACAGTGGAAAAGCACCGTTATTATTTATTTGAAATCTGCTTTAAGTTATCTACTAACGCTTAAGCAATAAATTTTCATAAACCATTAATGCATTAAATATACTAAAAAAAGGGTCTTGGCAGACAGACGGACGGACAAGAAAGTGATCCTATAAGGGTTCCTTTTTTTACGATGTTCGGAACCCTAAAAACTGTGGCATAATGAAACCAAGTCAGCGTATGTAGGGTCGGTCTAAGCCATGACTTAGCTCATTTTAAGGTTCCTTTACATATCGAAAATCATCGTAAAATATTGGTATCGATGAATGTATTAAGTTTAAAATTTATATTTCCAGATGAATTCCATGCTGATGACGAATCGTATATTGGGTATTGCCATATTTGTGATGAAGTCACTAACGGTGGAGACAATTTATTGCATGGTCTGCGAGAATTTTTACCGCCAGACAAATTCAGCTAAAGTGGCTGTTATATTATTTGGAAGCCACCAAGAATATAGTAAGTACCTCTCAGCCATGTTGACCAGCAAGGCCGTATTCCAGAGATGCAGGGCGCCAGCCAATGAACGTACTTACTTTTAAAAGCCCTAGATTGATTTTTGGGGCGCCCAATATGGTAAATACGCCCCTGTTTACTAGTACAATCTTTTTTAGTAACGCACGTGCGCCAGGCGTATGGCGACAACCATTAAAAGTATTATTTTAGCAAGCGCCAGGTTGAATTTTGCGCCTAGGCGCCCAATATGGCGATGGTTAAAACAGCAGTAGTTGTAGAGTATTTTTCTTATAACAAAATGTTATCTAGTCGTCTTATTTCTATCATCTAATATTAGCCTAATATTATCATTATAGGCAGTGCTAAAAAGTTCGTGAAAAGCGTACAAAAATTAAACAGCTTGCTGTATCAGAAGTTGACCGGTTGCGGTGTGTTCGTGGTGGATGCGAAGTTGCCATTGCATTTGGGTGATTTGATATTGAATCATACTGTAGTTTTGCTGCAGTTCGCCCTCAGCAAGATACGTGAATCTGAAGATGACTGATGAAAATAAAATAAAAATGTTTTCATAGAATAAAAATATAGTCAACAACAATCACATTGTAAATCATAGCACTCAGAGTTATGTGGTTGTTAGGCAAGTTTATTAATGTAGCAATGAAGTCTATTACTAAAATGAGAAGATGCCACTTAGTGCGTCTGAATGGGGTAGTAACTTTTTAAAATTACTTGAAATGTGACTACAGAAATAAAGAATACATCGATTTGAAAAAGGATAGGTTAATAATGATAATAAAAATGTATACAGACATTGATTTTATTTTGTATTATACTTCGAAAATCCTAAAAATAAAGAACTACAAACAAAGACCAAGATATTTACCGAAATTCATAAGTTAATTACTTGTATATTAAATTATTCAAACTTTCGTGAGACATTATAATAAACTTATATATAAAAAACGAATATACGTGAGTGTTTAGCCGTTTTTTTTTATACTTGTATAAAAAAACGTCTCTTAGTGCTATTTACTAGACTTAAGAGAATGGTATCTGCAACAATAAAGTTGTGTACGTGGTCAGTACGGAAAGAAAGCGTAGCGGCAGTGAGGCGTCCACAGTCAGTATACCACATGTCACCAGCGGAGAATACCTACTTTCTCGTCGTAGACTCTTGTATGCTAAACGTTCGAATGCTGTAAAAAAAAACGAGCTATAAAATTATGAACAATTTTGCTAACAATTTTGTTATAATACTTTTTTGTGTTTATTATAGTTAGGAGTGTCTTGTGAAGTCTGGACTCTTAAACCCCACGCGGGCGAAGTTGTTGAAAACAGCTACAAAGTTTTAAGTTTCTGACATTGCTGATAATTTGAAATAACTTACCTGTGCATTTTTTATCTGCAATTGATTTTAAAAATAAAACTTGCGTGTTCTTAAGCGATATGTAGAGCATTTCACACTCATAACTGATAGAAATTAATAAAATAATATTCTTGATTGTCCATATTAATAAAATAAATATCAATACATTGAATGTAGTTGACTGAAAGAAACATATATATTTTAACACGAGTACATAATAAGAGGATGGAGAGATGAAGCGTCGGTAGCTCAGTGGTCAAGCACTTGACTTGCAATCTGCAGGTCCTGGGTTCGAATCCCGCCATGTACCAATGTGTTTTTCGATTTCCGATTTACATATGTACATTTATCCGACGTTCTTACGGTGAAGGAAAACATCGTGATGCAACCTGCACATATCTGAGAAGAAATTCAAAGATATATGTGAAGTCAACCAACCCGCACTTGGCCAGCGTGGTTGACTATGGCCTAATCACCCTTAACTAGGGTAGGCTCCGATCCCTTCGGTGTGGACGTATAGTGAGCTGATGATGATGATAACATAATAAGATAACTCACGCACGTAACACAGAGAGATAGGCAGAGTATACTGACTCTTTCGCCTAATTCAATACTAATGAGAAATTATATTTTAACAAACTGACTATCGCCTATAATTCTGTTCGCACGGAATTAAAAAATAACTTAATAAATAGCCTATGTGTTCTTCCAGACTATATTGTATCTTTATGCCGTATTTCATTAAGAATCATAAAGCTGTTCTGTAGATCAAACAAACATACATCCTTCTAAACTTTCGCATTTTTAATATTAGTAAGATTCAAACAATTTTACATTTATAAGGCCAAAATAAATCAATACAGTATAAATGATATTTTAATCAGTGAAAAATGTCTCGTTTCTATTGATTTCGACGATAAATTCAACTCTGTTTAATCTGTAAGTATTATAATGAGCAAATTTAAAAAAATAACTTCAGTTTTAAATTGTTTCATCTCACCGTAATCATGTATTGAACATTATTCAATAGCTGCATAAACATTATAACAATGTGGTAAGTAATCTGCAATAAAACAACATTTTTATTAATACAACTACCTGTCGCCCGCGTCTCCGTCCGCGCGGCAATAAAAACAACTTAATTAGTAGCCTATGTGTTCTTGCGGGCTATGTTCTTCATATATACCAAATTTCAGCGACATCCATACAGTATTTCTGTTTGAAAGTATAAAAAATATAACCGATATCCACAAAAATACTAACCTGAATTTGACAAAGCTGCTTATAAATACACGATGCTTCAATAATGTCTGAAAAAGTTTTGCGCGTTACATCCCAGTATCTTTTCTGTCTTGTCTCATCGTTTATCACTTCTATGTTCAACTGTTTCTCTTCTTTTAGCTTTAAAGTCCAAGAATCGATTACTATCCTTAATAATTTAATTATTCGAATAATATAAATAGTATTGAAATCGTTTATTAACAAAATAACAACTACAAATGTATAGTATAATTCGAATCTCGATATAAGTATTTGAATTAACACAATTACTATATGAGTAATAAAAGAAAAAAACACATATATCCAATTTGTTAAAGTTAATATTTTACAATCAATATCATTCGTGATGAATTTCTTAATATTTTTTATTTTAATAATAAAACACACATGAACATCGCTGTTTACAACATTTAAAAAAGTGTTCAGAAGGTAACCGAAAGCGTAAAGAAAGAAATTAACCATAAGCAACGTCAAGGAAACAATATACAATTTAAAAATGTAATCATTTAAAAAGATTGCACTTAAATAGATTATAATAAAAGACATACAGATAATTAAAGATATAAAATTAGTAAAATAACTATTAGAAGTTATGAAATTATATTTTATACTATATTTAGTAGATAATGTAACATAATTTAGTAAGTTTAAAGGTCGCAAGAACATCTGGATGTCTTTATCGACAAAATTATCCAATAGTATTTCATTTTGGCTATTCAATGTAGAAATCATGGTTAGAAATGCCCGATTTGTTTTTATGTTTTCTTAACTTAGATGTTACCGAACCACTAAGTTTATTACTACTAAGTTAATTCCTTAATCCACAGTTTTAATTAAGTAAGTGGGTTGCGTCTCCAATTAAATATGTCAAATAACATGGTTATTGTTTTACAAAACAAAATATCTTTTTAATATATAACGAAGAGCGTCGGTCACTCAGTGGTCAAGCACTTGCCTTGCAATCAGCAGGTCCTGGGTTGGAATACCGCCATGTACCAATGTGTTTTTCGATTTCCGATTTACATATGTACATTTATACGACGTTCTTACGGTGAAGGAAAACATCGTGATGCAGCACATATCTGAGAAGAAATTCAAAGATATATGTGAAGTCAACCCGCACTTGGCCAGCGTGGTAGACTATGGCCTAGTCACTCCGAACTTAGGGTAGGCTCCGCTCCTCAGTAGGGACGCGTAGTGAGCTGATGATGATATAACTAAGAGACTAAATAGAAAAGGAATTAATGTTAGTGATGATCATTGATATACAGTGTGATAATGGTGGTGATGGTGATGATGATGAAGATGATAATATGACACATAAATAAATAGAAAGGTTTAGCATAAAACCAATACAAACGCGATGTCAGATTTATTACTTTTTATTTGCTATCATAATCATTTGAATACAATTTTGATTTTATTGACAAAAAAATGAAAATAAAACATTAAAACAATCTTCCACAACCACATCCAAGTCCGTTATAACCTACACCAGCGTTGTAACCTACATTAGCGTATGTGATACCATCAATAAAACCTAAGCCAGTGGTACCGATTGCATCTTCGTTGAGAATGCGGACATCACCAGACCCACAACCGTATGCAACCGCGCCTGCACCTGCTGACGGTACCGCGCCCTCCAAGTATGTAGTACCCAAGAACGGCAACTCACCAATCACAGCAAGAATACCTGCATACTCATTCTCCGATACCACAGACACCCCATTTGGAGGTACCGCGGAATAACTTCTGATAGCAAAACCGCCGCCATCGGCAGCGGACACGATAGCCTCGTAGTCACTACCCAATACCCCGCAAGGTCGGGACACGGGTAGTGGATATTCATTGTAAGTTAGACCATTACCGCAGCTGCCGACGTTGTAAGAGTTACGGAGATGACAAGCACCGAACACATTCTGAAATAACAAACTAATTCGTTAATTGAAACATTATTAAAGTGGACCGTAATATTTTTTTTATAAGAGAAGGGGGAAAATAAGCGGCGGGTACACCGAGATGTTCATCAAAGCCCATGGACATCTGCAATAACAGAGGAACTACAAATGCGTTGCCGACCTTTGTGATGGTGAAACGCTCGCTCTTGAAGGACCCTAAGACGTAGCGGTTGAATACCATTCGAATGTTACAAATGAACACTTTGAAAACTCCATACTTACATACAAACCGGAACAATAATTAAAAATATTAGACTAGTAATTAAGAATACATAAAATACCTGAATTGTAACTGCGAGTGCGCATGACAGAAGAACGAAGTAAGCGGCCATTTTGTTTTATTGTTTTCGAGTTGTGATCCCGGAATGGCAATAACAATTTTCTAATATGCTTTTATAGTCAAATGTATTACAAAATAATATCGCATTTTGCCAATATTTCGTCAAAACAAACGTGTCGATAACAATTATGGTATTAGTCGTTATAATAGCAATAATTTAACGCAACTTTAGTTGTTCTTTTATATGTAAAAAATATTTCTTTGACACTCTAAAAACGGTCATATTATTTATTATAAGAAATTAAAAAACGTTTAAAAGGTAGCTTATGAATTACATAATAATTCCAGTTATACTTAAAAAAGATATCCAAAAGAATTCTGGTGTAAGAAACGCCTTGATTTGAGTTACATTTCAAAAATAACCTTAAAATTTTTAAATCACCAAAAAAGTTGCCTCTTTCTTTGATACTTTAATTAAACGTAGATACTTATTTCCTTAGTTTCCTTTACAATCAAATTCTAACAATATCGTCATAGTCGTCGCAAACATCGGTTTTGCAACATTTTGCATACGATAATAAACTCGGTATAAAAGCGAATGCAAATCAAGAAATGTCATTCAATTCTATTGAAAGCAAACATGTCTTCATTTACCTTCTTCCTTGTGATCGCGGGCTTCCTAGCTGTGGTACAGGTAAATTACATTTTTTTCTGAATTTTTCTAAATCAAAATAAATTCACTTCTTAAATTCATATTGCTTCAGAATACCCTTAAATTGTTTTTCTTTTTAATTTGTGTTTCATTTTTCAGACTACATACGGACAGTGTCTCGGTAACTATCCATTGAATGGATTTGGTAATTACGATAATGGTTACGGTCGTCTTGGCTATGGATCTAACCTGGGCTATGGTTTGCCTGGTGAAGCTATCGGAGCGTATGGTGGAGAAGGTATTGGTGATTTGGATGTTGCCGGTGAGCTAGCGGTTGCGGGTACTACCGCTGTGGCTGGGCAGGTGCCAATACTAGGCGCCGTGCAATTCGGAGGTGAAGTGCCGGCCGCAGGCACGGTTACCATTGCCGGTAGATGTGGTTGCGATTGCAATGGTACTCCAATGTTTTAAAAAAAAAATTCCAAAAATTTTGAAAATAAAAATTTGAACTCATAATTTCCTGGTTTTATTGTGTCAGTTGTGTAAATTGATATGCCCTTGGTACGATAGGAAATAGATAATATAAAATTGATAAGGGGTTTGCAACTTAGTTTTTGAAATATTTATCAATGTATAAGCATTAGGAATTTAGTTGGAAATAATTCCTCCCACAACTTTATCGTAACTCATCGAAATTCGAGATAGTCACGTATTTTAAATACAGTTGTTAAACAAATACAAATTCATAACTTCATAATGTTGCCATGAATCTTTTAAAATTGTAGCAAACGACTTTTTCTTTTAGTTTTCAGAGATGAATAAGTAAATTAAATAATTCATCCTTATAACACTTTTAGAGTGCCTTTAAAAATTTTTATGAAATATTCCGAGATTTTTGAAAAAAAAAATATTCTGTGAAAATCGGATTGTGACTGTCAAATTATTAATGTCAAGTTGCTAAATTTAAGATTGTGTCAGTTCAGTTCAAGTATAAAAATGCTTGTTATTTGAATACAGTGTTTAATTTCCGTACTTTACGATTATTCAGACAACATACTGCTCGTTTATTCAAAGAAAGCCTTATATTTAACGGTATATTAAATTATAAACATGTTAAAAGCTGTGATATTAATTGGAGGACCGCAAAAAGGTATTTGTTTAAGTTTGCCAACGTCACCGGCTTTTATCGTCCCTTGTGAAAAACAATAAGATTATCAAATTTCATAAAAATTTACATTAATTAAATTCTCGAGTATTTTGATTTAAAAGTATTATAGTAAAACTTAACAATAGCGGATAAATGAAAATTTACAATATTAATATTAAAAAATTATATTTAAACTTTTCCATTTAATTTACAATGAAATCTAATCTAAAACTTTAATATATAGTTCCAAAAACAAAACATGTCTGTAATTGTCTCAAAAAATTATGATAATAATTTGTTTTTTCTAATTTTATTTTACAGGTACACGGTTTCGTCCCTTATCTTTGGATACACCAAAACCGCTATTCCCTATAGCTGGTCTCCCATTAATACAACATCATATAGCAGCGTGTGTTAAACTAGAAGAATGCAAGGAGATACTAATCATTGGTTCCTACACAACAACACATATGACACAATTTGTGACTGATATGCAGAAAGAATATCATGTTATTATTAGGTAAGTTTTATTGGCATTTATAATTTTATTTATATGCAAACGACGCAACTAAAATTCCAACTAACTATAGGGCCTATATACTGCCTTGAGAGTAAGGCACACTTGAACTCTGAATGGAAAGGGAGTCCTGAAGGTTTCTGCATTACACAGTCTTACATAACCCTTCTAAAACCCACTAGCCCCAGGTAGCTCTAAAATCAGCACTGCTAATCGACAAACTTCTATTACATCCCCCAATTAATTTCAAATAAAGTTTATTGTTTTTATATCTAGTTCATATTATTAATTTGTTTTTAGTAATACATACAAATTATATATTTTGCAGATATTTACAAGAATTCACCGCATTAGGTACTGGTGGTGGTCTTTATCACTTCAGAGACCAAGTACGAGCAGGTAACCCGAGTGCCTTCTTCTTGCTCAATGGTGATGTGTGTGCCGACTTTCCTTTGAAGGAATTATGGACCTTTCATGATGAGAGACCTAATGCTTTGGTAAGTACTGAGTATATTAGCTGCGGGTTTTTGAGACCAAAATCTTTGTGCATGACAAAATGTTTAATATTAAGATTTTTGTCCCAGAAACCAAAGGTAAAGTAAATACTTTCATTATTCAAATGTTACTATGTCTTCATTTATTTAAAATGTTAGAGAATAGTTTTATTTGTCTAGTACTAAACTTAGCTAATTGCCTTAATTATGCAAGACTTTGCTCCATACATTTCAGAGGCGTTTAGAATATTTTTTAGTCAATCTTGTTTTATGACCTCTAATATTATTCATGAACTAGCAGTTTTTCTGTGACTTCGTCCGCGCAGTATAAAAAATCACTGTAGAGTAGTTTCCCAACAACTAAATTCAATAGGTCAAAAGTTTCGGAGCCTGTTCAATGAAAACATACAATAATTAGTTCATTACTTAATAAAGTAATGTCACCCACATCCAACCTGGATATACATAACTTTAACCATTTGTATTGTCTACCCACATTTTTTTTTATTTATGATATAGACAATGTTTGTGAATTCCATTAAATAAATCGATATTTCAGGTAACAATAATGGGTACGGAAGCGACCCGTCAACAATCCATTCACTATGGTTGTATGGTTAGCGAGGCATCAACAAAAGCGGTCACACATTACGTAGAGAAACCCAATTCATATGTATCAACATTGATTAACTGCGGTGTGTATGTCTGTTCGTTGCAAGTCTTCCATACAATGGCTGAAGCATTCCAGAAGAAACAAGATGGATATTACAAGTAGGTCGGCCTGGAACTAAAAAATAATAATTAGTAGCCTATGTGTTCTTTCATACTATGTAGGCAAACGAACGAGCGGTCACTTGAAATCGCTGAAATAGCGAAGTGACCGTTGCCCATACACATACGCAATTGCATATGCGTTGTCTACCTTTAATCGACGGAGGAGATGATGCACAGAAAGAAAATATTTTCCCTTTCCATGGATCCTCTTATCCGGAAAGTCCACTTCCACTTCGCATCCTTTCCTTATAAGAATAAGGGTGGGAAGGAAAAGTAGGTGGAAATCTTTTCCAAATATCAGCGTGATCCGTTCAGCCGTTCTGGAGATACCTTCTAATAAACATGCATCCATCCAAACATTTGTATTTATTATATTAGTATGATTAATTTGACTATTGTATGTCATTTACTAGTGCGAGTGGACAAAATGGTTCTCACCCGGGATATATGTCATGGGAACAAGATGTCTTGGCACCTCTCGCGGGGACTAACAAACTATTTGCTATGCAGGTATGTTAAAAATATATTGTTTTTTCAAAATAATTTAGTTAAAATTACTTTCATAAGAGTAATGTAATATTTTACATAGAAAATTTATTTTTATTTTCATAAACTATACTACTACTAAAAATACTAGGACACATTATTTTGATCAATTGTGTAAAACTAGCTATCGCCCGCGACCCTGTCCACGCAGAATATTTAGTAGCCTATGTGTACATCCAGACTATGTTCTACATCTATGCCAAATTTCATCAAAATCCGTTGAGCCTAGAAAGGCTCATGTTTTTTAGAAATCTCTAGAAAGACATTTCTAAAAAACATCCATCCATCTAAACTTTCGCATTTATAATATTAAAAAGTTATTAATACTCTAATATGCATTGCTATTAATACATGAAAATTAAAATAGAAACTTTCTTTAAGAATAAATTGTTAAATTTCAAACATTCAATGGTGACTCACCTGATATATTGTATCAAATCATCACAGCATTTAATGTGTTAACTAATTCCAGGTAAATAACTGGTGGTCACAAGTGAAGACGGCAGGCTCAACAATATATGCTAACAGACATTATCTGGAATTAAACAGACAAAAGCAGATAGATCCTCCCTGTCAGATATTGCCGGACGTCTTCCTGCATCCTACTGCTGTGATTGATAGCACCGCTGTGGTGAGTTGGTCTTGTATACGAGGGGCTTAAAACATAGAGGGCTTTTACCGTAATATGGTATAACTGTGTAGCAAAGAAAGGAATTGTATATCATAAGCTTTGGTGACTCACGGGTTAAGCACTTGATTTGGAATCTGAAGGTTCTATGTTCGAATCTCAATGTGTTTTACATATGTACATTTATACTACCTTGTTACGGTGAAGGGAAACATCGTGATACTGCACATATCTGTGAAGATCAAAGATATGTGTGAAGTCAACCCGCACTAGGCCAGCGTTGACTATAGCCTTGTCACTAACTTAGGGTTGACTCAGAGCTCCTTAGTGGGGATACTAAACTGGGAAGCTGATGATGATGATAATAACTTTATTTGTCTAGATTATTTTAATCATTATACCAATTTGAGTATTATTTAAGTACATCATTGCCTACTTTTAGACGTTATTAATTAGAATCATTTGTCGCGAATGACGCGCTTTCAAAGTCAAGTGTCAGGATTAGTGAGGGGACATAGACGTCGATATTTTAGTAAAGCTAGTCCTTGCGCCAGTACACCGGCACACTGTCGGATTTTCTTCCTAATACTTAGTTTTGTTTTTTTCAGATTGGTCCAAATGTATCAATAGGTGCGGGTGTTATTGTGAAGGCTGGAGTTAGGATCAAAGAATCTATAATTCTTAATAACGCGACTATAAATGAACATGCGCTAGTTATGTATTCTATTAGTAAGTATTATATACATAAAATTAACTCCTGTATACTGTATATCTATGAAGTAAATAATAGTATATAACATATCGTCATCCCTGTCATTATCTTTGAGAAAACGGAGATAACAATATGTTTTAAACGGAAATTTTGGTGCTCAGAAACCCAATATGAATGACCTTATATATAAAAGTTTATTTCTCTCCTGTTGTTTAATGTTTAAACTAGGTATCGCAGACGTCAGCGCGAAATTAAAAAAAAACTTAATATTAGCCTGTGTGTTCTTCAAGATCCGTTGAGCTGTTCCGGAGATTCATTTTTCTCTTTCCCTTCCCACCCTTTTTCTTATGAGGAAGGGTTGGGAAGTGGAAGTGGACTTTCCGGATCAGAGGATGCATGGAAATCCACCTTTTGATATAAAAGATACCTTCTAACATCTATTCATCCATCATCCAAACATTCGCATTTATTAAGATATGAAATTGTTACTTGTTTTTAGTTGGTCAAGATGTATCAGTAGGTGAATGGTCTCGGGTTGAAGGGACACCCTCAGATCCGGATCCTGACAAGCCCTTCGCCAAGATGGACAACCAGCCCTTGTTCAATACAGATGGACGTCTCAATCCTTCCATTACTATATTAGGTAAGTCTTTATAATTGCATCTATATGAAAATTTTCTCATATAAAACTAAAAAACAAATACAAAAAACAATAACCTAAACTAACTTAACTCCTGTAACACTCTGGCAAATAATATTAATTCAAAAATAAACTAAAGGTTTTTTTTCGATTTTATAATTAAAAATAAGTAAATCTAACCTAACCTAAAATCCTACCTAATACCATTACCAAAACAAACTAATAACTGCTGACCAATTCTAAATAATTATGTTATATCCGAATTTGATATAATAATTTTCCTATATCCGATTACCGAATATCTCTATCCAAGCAATATCCATTTCCAAATAATATCCCTTTCCAAATAGTATCCCTATCCAAACAGTATCCCTATCCAAATAGTATCCCTTTCCGAATA